TGTTGGTCACATCTTGCAATTGTGAACTGTGCTGCTATAAACACTTCGAGTGCAGGTGTTCTTTTTTTACAGGATGTCTTTTGTGTCTTGGTAGATGCCCAGTAATGGATTGCTGGTGAACCTCTGTGGAAAGTAATATGGAGACACCTCAAAGAGCTACAAGTAGATTTTTCTTTGGAACATAGTGATATAGATGAAAAGCGAGAAGAGAAAGGAAATCCATAGTAGAGAGGGCATTCTTAAGTGACTCCTTTGTGTGGAGATGGCCATAAATCTGATGACAAGTATAAGCTGTTTTAAGCTGCCTTACTTACCTATGGTAGCCGCTGATTGTAATACTAAGGTCCCCACTTAATGGGAAGTACTGCGCATGGCTTAATCAGTACCTTATGTAAATATGCGAGACTTCCTTCCACGGCCCAGGAGTGAGTGCCGGTGGGCTCGTGTCTTCACTAGGAGTGGACGCCCCTGTATAAATAACCTCTAATAGCTCATCTGAGTAGCCACGCTGGACTTACCTGAGTCACTCTTTGGTCTCTGGCCACCATCCCCAGTTTGGGGGGTGGTTTTCTATACCATCCTGGAATTTTCCCGAACAAGATTTTATCCTTTGAGGAGGACAAAGCCCTGAATAATTCCATGACTTTCATGCCTCCCTATTTACTTTAAAATGAGCAAAGCAAGCCAGAGGGGGGGAAAAAATACCACGTGACCTCACTACAGGGTGGAATCTTTACAAAGTCACATTTGTAAGAAACAAAGTTTCTCTGAGACAAGACCCACCCACCTCCTCTTCTCCTCTCCTCCTCCCTCAGCGTACTCAACGTGAAGATGATGATGATGAAGACCTTTATCATGATCCACTTCCACTTAACGAATACTGAATATATTTCCTCTTGTTTATGATTTTAACAGCAGTTTCTTTTTTCCAGCTTACTTTATCATAAGAATACAGTGTGTAATACATATAACATACAAACTATGTGTTTGTCAACTGTTTATGTTATCAGTAAGACTTCCGTTAAACAGTAGGCTATTAGTAGTTCAGTTTTGGGGAAGTTAAAATTTATATGCAGATTTTCGACTGCATGAGGACTTGGTGCCCCAACCCTGGTGTTCAAGAGTCAACTGTGTGGCCGGGCGCGGTGGCTCACGCCTGTAACCCTAGCACTCTGGGAGGCCGAGGCAGGCAGATTGCTCAAGGTCAGGAGTTCAAACCAGCCTGGAGCAAGAGCAAGACCCGTCTCTACTATAAATAGAAGAAATTAATTGGCCAATAAGTATATATAGAGAAAATTAGCCGGGCATGGTGGTGCATGCCTGTAGTCCCAGCTACTGGGGAGGCTGAAGCAGAAGGATTGTTTGAGCCCAGGAGTTTGAGGTTGCTGTGAGCTAGGCTGACGCCACGGCACTCACTCTAGCCTGGGCAACAAAGCGAGACTCTGTCTCAAAAAAAAAGAGTCAACTGTGTGCATGTATATACACACAAACATCATGTCATATGTCTTACGTATATACAATAAGTTTTTTAAAAGAAATAATGTAAAATAAAATACAAATAAGTAATGTAAATGGCAAATGAAGATGGAAGCATAACATCAAAAAGAAAAATCTCCATTCTGTACTCACCTGAAACCCCATCTCTCACCTCAAAAAGAAATTACTATCTATGTTCTCTTATGTCATGCAGAGGATTTTAATGAGGAGAAGTATTAGCATATTTTAAAGTTTCAAGAGCTCAAAGCAAAAAAAAAAATCACTATGGGCAGTGCAAAGAGATGTTCATGAAGGGTCGTGTTTCCTTTCGTCTTCACTATCTTCTCTTTTTCTCACAGTGTTTTTCAGGGCGCTCTTCTTGGTCTTGCATTTTCTCTGCCTCATTAGCAAGTCCGTCTGCAATCAATGCTATGGCCAGTCTCTCTCTCACCAACTCCACTTTCCTTTCCTGTTTCCTAATATCTTCCTCCGTGACCAGAAATTGTTTGCAGAGGATCTGTGAGCTACCCAGACCCGTTCCAGGAACAACCTCCGCCACATCTGAGGACCGGGCAAAGGTGGGCGTGGGACCGGGACACAGACCACCAGCAAGAGCCCCTGGCAGGGATGCACCTGTACAGCCAGGTGCGAGCTTTTGCAAGGATTTGGCAAGATCCAAAGTACTTAAAAGTTCTCCTGAGCTGCTATAGGCCTGGAGTCCTTGAAGTCTCCTCTGCCAGCAAACCTGTTGAGGCTTTTCCAGGCTCTCTTCCCATTGGTGGTACCTAACCTCATTGCCAAGATGGGACGTGATTTTAGTAACTGGCCTTTTGAATATGTAGCTGGACATCCTCAAAGGGTTGGAGATGCTTAAGCCAGGCTTTGGTTTGGATTGGCTCACACAGTCACGTTGCTTTCTCTGCAAACTCTTAGCCATCATCCTTCTTTTCCTCTTGTGCTACAAAAATAAAAATCACGAAATCATATCAAAATGATAAATGAAGCCTGCCTTCTCAGCTGACAATGATCTCAGCTGTTTTGGACTTCCGTCCCTCCTCTTTCCCTTGGGGATAAGTCTCACCTGCCCCCTGCAACATCCCCAAGCAGATTTGAGTCGAGGACAGGTAGCTCAAGGTCAAAACATTCCTCCGGCATCCTGCAAACCGCCTCCTTGTTTGAGTGTCATTCTAGTCTCTTTTTGTCCTTGTCACTCCTAAATGCACAAGGCCTGATACCCTCTCTGATAACACATATGACATGTATTTTTCTAAATCTCAAGTCCTGCCATCCCAGTGTTATACTAACCTTTGCTACATTTCTAATTCATGCATTGTGTCTTGCAGACCTCATTTACCCATTGTGCACAATGAATGCTATAGATCTCTGAATATTAAAAATATTGTTTTTTGAAGAAGGGAGGGAGGGAGGAAGGAAAAAAAATATTGTTTTTATTTTTTAAAAAATCCTGCCATTCTGCTGCGTGATTTGACTGTTCATTTGATTAACCCATTGATCTCTTGGGTGTTATAGCACCTGCAGCATATTCACTGATAGTGAAATGACCACCTGCTCCACTCTTATGGACTCACTCTCATACCCAAGTGGCCATGCCCAAAAATAACTAATTCAGAAAGCCTGTTCACCCACCACAAGTTTCTCATCATAAACACCCAAACAATAGATACCTGTTCCTCAAGAACAAAAGTTATGCCAGACTACCATAGCCTCACCTTCCTCTCTCTCCTCCTGTTCCTGTTACTCTTAGATTCCATGGTCTGTGACCTCAATAATTCCCTTGGAATAAGCCAGAATTCCTTTCTGCTCATCATATATACCTCGTAAAACCAGGCATCCTCAAACTACGGCCCACGGGCCACATGCGGGTGTTTTTGCCCATTTGTTTTTTCACTTCAAAATAAGATATATGCAGTGTGCATGGGAATTTGTTCATAGTTTGTTTTTTTTTTTTAAACTATAGTCCGGCCCTCCAACGGTCTGAGGGACAGTGAACTGGCCTCCAGTTAAAAAAGTTTGAGGACCCCTGTTGTAAACCTTTAAACCTGGGAGATCCCCATTGATCCTCAACACCATAGCTACTATTAGTCTTATGCTAACCACTGAACAAAACACACAACATACTATTTTGGAACCACTATATATACACAAAAATAGACAGCATTAACTGGGGTAATGCCTGGAAATTTTACTTTCTTTTATGTGTTGACATATTAACTCTTTGATTTTCCCCAAAGCCTGTTTCAAATGTTCTTCGCTTTTCTTTTTTTCCTCATATGTACTCAAGTTGCTTTCACTTGCCTGATACTGCAGAGAGAAATTGCTAACTACTGGGTTGAAATGTTGTGGGTCTAGTTGCCAAATCTGCAAATAGCCCTGATAAGCTTCCGCAGCTTCCAAATTTCTAATTTTATTCAAATTTTTTTCAAATTTTTCAAATTTTATTTTTATTCAAATTTTATTCAAATTATTCTAATCTATTCAAATTTCTAATTTTATTCAATGAGATGTCTGTTATCCTCCAATGGTGACCTACACCTCATCTCTTCTCCCTTCTTAGTGATCTTATGCCTTCAATATTCCCACTTAGCCCCTGTATTGTCAACTTCTCTTTTTCTACTGAATCTTTCTTTCGGCACTTAAATATATTCAAATTTCTCCTAACTACACAGAAACGCCTCACCTTACTTTCCTGGGGCCTCTGCTCAACCACCGATTTCTATTCCTTCCCCTTAGCTGCGTGCCACTGAGAAAAGATCATCTTCACCCTCTGTCTCTGTCTTCTCACCTCCAAGCAGCTCCTCAGATCACTCCAAACTTCTATCTGCCTTCAACATTCTACGGCTACTTTCCTCACTAAGGTAACAATGGCCCCTCTGTTATAAGATCCAAAAGGAATTTTCATTATTCATATGACATGATTTTTTTTTTTTTTTGAGACAGCGTCTCTCTGTCACCCAGGCTACAGTGCAGTGGTGTCATCATAGCTCACTGCAGCCTCCAACTCCCGGGCTCAAGCGATCCTCCTGCCTCAGCCTCCCTCGTAGCTAGGACTACAGGCACCACATGCATGACATCCCGGTCGTGCCAGCAAATGGAAGGAAATAATGAAGATTAGAACAGAGATAAATAAAACAGAGAAGAAGAAAAAAACATTATCTTTTGTGCTCAGGCCAACTCGAGAAGTGACATCTCATCCATAAGTTCTTGGTTGTATGTACACATATGTGCACATGCATGTGTGTAATCCCCCTGAAAATTATCTAAGCAGCCTGCAACCATGCCAAATGTGCAGGCCAATGAATCCTGAATGTTCTATCCCTTCTTCATCCCTCTAGCACCTTCTTTTTCTTTTTTCTCTGCACTCCGTTTGAGATGGAAGAGAGACGCTGGGCATGGTGGCTCACACCTGTAATCCTAGCACTCTGGGAAACTGAGGGGGGAGGATCGCTTGAGCTCAGGAAGTTCAAGACTACCATGAGCAAGAGTGAGGCCCCATCCCTAATTTTAAAAAGGAAAAAAAAAGATGGAAGAGAGAAATCTATATCTTTTATCATACACTCTGTCAGCTTAATCCCTGTGGTCAGTCCCGGGGTGGGGGTGGGGGGTGGAATGAGTGAGACTTCAGGGACGCCAGCCCCTTCCCACCACCAGGACCCATGGAGTGAGGCACACAAGCATTCTGAGACACTGATCCCTGGCCTGAGGTCACCGTTGGGATCAAGGGGTTCATGCCCACCACTGACAAGAGCATTGTTGAAATGCACCTCATATAGAAGCTGTGGGTGTCTGAGACCCACCACCCGAAACAGACCGTGTCCCTCTAAATATCAGTAATTCTAGCCTGCAAATCCTGGAAGTCAAAAGAGTAAAAAGCAGATAATCTTTCAGAGGGGGCTAATGCCCTGTTCTTTGATCTTCATCAGTAGCTTTTCTAGGAAAACTGAGAATTCTGTTTTAAGAGTGGACTTTATCCAACTGTGTGGCATGCCTGTCTATGACTGAGCTACTGCACTGGTTCTTACCTAGGAGTTTACCACAAGACAGCCTGTGTTCTGTGCAGGCTTTGCTGGTTGCAACAGTTGCATTGTGTATGCTTCTGGAACACTCAATGTATCAACACAACCATGCCCTCAGAAGAGGGTTAGGCAGTATGCAATTGTTTCCATGGGGTGTCTCCATCTTTAGCAATTCCTTCTGGGATTATTTAGTAACATTTGTCATTTCCGCGGGTGGCCTTGAACTGGAGGGAGGTGATAGTGGAACTGCTGGGTTTTGGGGTGGAATTTCAGCTTTGTTTGTCTTGTGTATGAGGACCTCTATATGTTCAAACTTTGTCACTTCCAGCTGTTTCAATTGAGTTTCTTCCCCTCTTTCTCTGTCATTAATCAAAACATGGAATGGAATAGTTTATGGCAATTATTTTATTTTCTGGTTAGGTAGAAGCTACTGGTTGTTTCCCCTATACCAGAGTTAGGGTGGCAGGAAGTGACTATTAAGGGACAAAAGGTCTTCTGATCTCAGGCACTCTGTGGGGAAACTGAGAACCTGCCTTGTCCACGAGGCTGGTGTGAGGTGCAGAGTGACAGAGTCTTTAGTCCATGTCACGAGGCTGGAGGCAAAACTTTGCACTGTACCTTCAGTTGTCCAGCCAGAGAAGTTTCAGGTCACCTTCATTCTGGGCAGAAAGGGTCCAGGCATCATATGATTGTTAAGCCCTGGGATTTTGTATTCCTAGACTTTGTGTGTTACAATGTGGGTACACAGTGTCAACCTCATTCTGTAACCAGCCTCTCATACCTAACAACATACCCTGAACATAATTCAATACAACTAAATGTACACTGACATTGTTTTAATGCCTCCAGATTCCAATACTTATATAGCCATTGTTACTACTCTCCTGTGACAATAAATAAAAGGTAGATGATGAATTCTTTTTAACAATCTTTGAACATTTCTCTGATGTAGGTCATTGTAAAATTGCTGGGTTGATAAATATGCACATGTATACAGTTTTTAGTGTATGTTGCCGAGTACCTGCTAAGAAATCGGCACTTTACAATGCCACTAGCAGAGGGTGGGATCATCCATTTCCTAAACTCTTGCCAAACTTAATATTCAATTCTTTTCATTACTTGAAAGGCATCCCTATAATGCCATTAATTTAATTCGTACTTCTTTGCTGATTAGAGAATCTCAATATTGTTGTCTATGGCAAAAAATGAAATATAAAAATCAGAATAAAAATGTAGCAAAGTAACAATTTATTATTTTTTAAATTTCGCAATATTATGAGGATATAAATATTTTGTTAACAATATATATTTTTTTAATTCTGAAATAAATATTTATTCTAGGAAAGATGAGAATGTCCAGAAATGGACATGGGTATTTTTTCCTTACTATTTTTTCCTTTGGTTTTAGTTTCTTATTCACACCCTTTCTATGTTAAATTGAAAGCATAAATCATTTGAATACATCATTTCAGTCTAACATATAAAGCTATAATTCTCCTCTTGGGGAAATGTATGTGTCATGTTCAGATTTTTTCCTTATTCTAAATAATCATTAATGGAGTTTAGTGTTCCTCTTTGGTGCAAGGGCAACTTGCAAAAGATCCTACTTTTTTTTTTCCTCCACTTGATCCAAGGAAAGTCCCGCCTTCAACTCTCCCCCAGCCAGGAGCTGAGCTCCCACAGTCCCAGCCTCTGACCATATCTCAACTCCACCCCACAACTTACACCTGATTTATTCGCACCTATATCCCAGTCCCGGGAACTTTGCTTCTGCCTACTCAGCCCCGCCCTCCGGACCTGGACCCGCCCACAGCCCCGCCCCCGGAGCTGGTCTCCGTCCTCTCAGCCCCGCCCTCCGGACCTGGACCCGCCCACAGCCCCGCCCCCGGAGCTGGTCTCCGTCCTCTCAGCCCCGCCCTCCGGACCTGGACCTGCCCACAGCCCCGCCCCCGGAGCTGGTCTCCGTCCTCTCAGCCCCGCCCTCCGAACCTGGAACCGCCCACAGCCCCGCCCCCGGAGCTGGCCTCTGTCCTCTCAGCCCCGCCCTCTGGGCCTGGACCTGCCCACCGCCCCGCCCCTGGAGCCGGTCTCTGCCCTCCATGCCCCGCCCTCTGGACCTGGTACCGCCCACCGCCCCGCTCCCGGAACTGGTCTCCGGCCATCGGTCCCGCCCTCCAGAGTTGGTACCGCCCACACTCGTCACCTCCCAGCGCCCTTCCTTGGCCTGATCCTGCCCTGAGGACCGACCCTGGCCCTGCATCTGACTCAGCCTAAGGCCCAACCTTGTTCTTACTAAGAAAACTAGACTACGTCGGCCGCCCCACTCCTTGCTCGCGGCCCCACATCGCCCTCCCTGCCGCCGCCAGCCCGAGACCGGAAGCGGACGTGCGGGGCGGTCCGCCCGACACCGGAAGCGGAAGCGCGGGGCGGTGCCGTGGGAGGAGCCGCACGTAGCGCGCCGGGGAGCGAGTCCCTTCGTCTCCGCGAGTCGGCGCATTTGGCCCAGCGGGAGGGGTCGGACTCGGTGAGCGTCGGGCGGGGGTTCGGGTCCGAGTCCAGGGAGGGGCGTGGGCCTCGGGGACCCTCAGCCGCGGGCCCTACTTCCCTCCCGGGGGCCGTTTTTCTTCCTCGGAGGCCTCGGGCTGCTCGCTCTGGTCAGCCCAAAGGTGCTGTTTTCTCCCCGGTCGCGACCCAGCGCCGCCGCCGCCGCTTCCTCCTCCTCCTCCTCCTCCGAGAGCCCGCATCGCCTTTACCCGGGGCGATTCTGTGCCCCAGGGCGACTCTTGGCCAAGTCTCGAGACCTTTTTGGTTGCTACCGATTGTGGGGGAGGGGAGATTGCTACTGTCAGTCTAGTGGGTGGAGGCCAGGGACGCTGCTTAGTGTTAAACATCCTGCATTACACAGGACAGTCCCCCACAACAAAGAATTATCAGTAGTGCCTAGGTTGGGACATCCTGCCCTAGGGCCTTAAAATCTATGAAGTTCGGAATAAACTATCCAAATTGTTTAAAATTAAGCTGAGTCACTTATAGGGCCTCTGAGTGAGAAGACAGAGCATCTAGAGTCACTATAAAATCTCTCTCCAGCGAAATGAGTTGAGCAAGCTGCTTTCTCCCATCTTAAATAGCAGGTAGCTGGATAGGAATCAGGTAAATTCAGTAAGTGAAATGAGTCAGTACAAAAAAAAAAAAAATGGATGAAATGTCCTTTTAGCCAACAACTGTATCCAACAACTGTACAAAGTATAAAAAGCCTCAAAAGCAATTTTTATGCCTTTTGTTTTTTTCAGCTGAGAAAAGCATCTCTCAAGCTCAGATTTGTGTTGAAACAAGCCTCAGAGTGCATCTGTCCTCACTGATCCGTGGGCTTCTGTGGGACTAGGTGAGTATCACATGGAACATGGAACAACAGCAGAGTTCCAGCAGGCTCCCTTGTGTAGAACTGCTCCTGGGCTTGTCCTCTGCTCAGATTGTAACCACAAGGAGTCACTAAGAGTGAGGGTATCTTAAGAAAAATTATTTATGTTTGATGGCTTATATTAAGGGAAAGATAATACTAAGGTGTTTAAGGTGGAAATAAGGCAGTAAATACAGTTACATGCAAATAAATACATACAAAACACATATAAGCATAAATATGTGTAACTGTAGAAAATATAGATTTTCTTTTATGTCATCATACTAAAAATTTCAGGATCTTATGTAAAATATTTACGTGGTTATGTAGTATTACAAGTCTTTCCACTAACGACTAGCAGAACTCCTCAGCAACATTCCCCAGGCCTGTTTGATTTGAATTTTAAAGGCCTATATATAAATCCTCCATAAAACTTCAAAATATAGGAGCTCTCACAACAAAGATGACTTGAGCTTCCTTATATTAGTAACGGAAATTTAAAATTGAATTGACCAGCAACTAGATGTGTTTTGAGCAATTGGATTCTTTTTTCCTAATGAAATTTTAAATCACTTGGGAGAATATTAAGCAACAACTTAAAGATTGAAGGGTAGGGCACTGGTTTCCAAAAAGATTGTCTTCTGCATCTTGCCTCGTAATAGTAATCAACTATGTTGCTTAAAACTTTCCTGAAATAACAGTATGGTGATTTTTATTTCAGAGAACCACATTAAGTAATCTTATATTTAATTGTGGGATTTTGCTAATTGTGTATGTGTGTGTGCCTTTTTCATTCTAGCCTTCCTATAACATTTTCAAGGGAATATTTGCTTAGCATGCAATAGATATGCTTTGTGATGACTAATCATCCCCATTTATTCAGAACTAAGGAATTTGCTAGGACATACGACATTCAGGTTTTCTTTTGTTGTTTGTTTGTTTGTTTGTTTTTGGCGACAGAGTCTCACTCTGTTGCCTGGCTAGAGTGCTGTGGCATCAGCCTAGCTCACAGCAACCTCAAACTCCTGGGCTCAAGCAATCTTTCTGCCTCACCTTCGCAAGTAGCTGGGACTACAGGCATGCACCACCATGCTCGGCTAATTTTTTCTATATATTTTTAGTTGTCCAGCTAATTTCTTTCTATATTTAGTAGAGACAGGGTCTCGCTCTTGCTCAGGCTGGTCTGGAACTCCTGAGCTCAAGCAATCTCTCTGCCTCAGCCTCCCAGAGTGCTAGGATTATAGGCGTGAGCCACCATGCCCGGCCCAGATGAAGACTTTTTAAGAGGCAAGATGGGAGGTGTTAGAAAGAAGTTTAGGAATCAGATGATTATTCTCTAGGCCTGGATAATAGTCGCAGAGCAGGAAAGAAGAGTTCTAGAAGTTTAAAAGTGGGAGAATGTGGTGACACTCTCATTTCATCCCTGCATTTTTCTGATGGCACAGAGCACTCCCGGTGCTCCCAGGTCCTGTCTGTGCAAACCTGCAGGTAGCCCCCTCAGCCAACCCTAAAGGATCCGCCTCCACATCCTAAAGGAAGTGAGGCCTGCGCATATCTGGGGCTGCTCCGTCTGCTGTGGTAGCCATTAGCCACGTGGAGCTAATTGAATTCAACCAATGAAAATTAAGCAATGAAAATTAACCAATGAAATCAGTTTTCGCAGTCATACTAGCCACATTTCAGGCGCTCAGTAGCCACATGTGGCTGCCCTATTGGAACAGAATTATGGCACATTTCTGTTGTCACTAAAAGTTCTATTGGGCAACTCTGGTATGGAACGGCCCATCTTCTGTGACCCTCTTCCAGCCCCACCATATATATCTAGGGCAGAGCAGGAGTCACTGGATCTGTAAACTGAACAGAGACCCTTCCTGCCCCAATAGGAGATTGCAGTTGCCAGGCAACCTTGCAGGGGCACGTGGGGCCTGCACATGGACCCGGCACCTTCTCTGCTTGCGTTCCTCTTAGGGGCCAGTGAGCTGGCTGGATCCCGACCTTCTTCTCACTCCTCAGCTCAGTGACTGCAGCTACTGTCTACCTAACTGCAGATTGGGTCCCCGGTGGGTGGAAAGGCATTATCCTGCACTTGTAGAGGGTAGGGAAGTTCCGCAGCTGTTGCCAGATTCCCACAGGCTTCAGGGAAGATTTGATACCAGAGGCAATATTAGTTTCCTGTTGCTACTGTAACAAATTATAACAAATTTAATGACTCAAAGCAACACAGGTTTATTCCCTTGCAGTTTTGGAGGTCAGAAGTCCTAAATGAGTCAGAGGGGTTGCATTCCTTCTAGAGGCTCTGGGAGAATTCATTTCCTGCCTTTTTCATCTTGTAGAGGCTCCTTGAATTCCTAGGCTGTGCCTCCTTCCTTCCTCCACCTTCAAAACCAGCAGGGCAGTGTCTTCACACATCTCTCTGCCTCTGTTCCCCACCTTCCCTCCCCGCACACACACCCCCATGCTTCCATCATCACCTTCTCTGACTCTCACCCTCCCACCCTGTGATGACACGGGGCCAACCTGGACAGTCCAGGATAATCCCCCATGTCAAGATCCTTACTTTGGCTGAGTACGGTGGCTCACACATGTAACCCCAGCACTTTGGGAGGCTGAGGAGATAGGATCGTTTGAGGTCAGGAGTTCAAGACCAGCCTGAGCAAGAGTGAGACTCTGTCTCTACTAAAAATAGAAAAATTAGCCAGGCATGGTGGTACCTGCCTCTAGTCCCAGCTACTCCATAGGCTGAGGCAGGAGGATCACTTGAGCCCAGGAGTTTGAGGCTGCAGTGAGCTATGATGATGCCACTGCACTCCAGCTTGGGCAACAGAGTAAGACCTTGTCTCAGAAAAAGAAAAAAAAAATCGTTATCTTCATCACATTTGCAGTGTAAGGGAGCCTGTTCACGGCTTCTGGGGACTAGAACATGGGTACCTGTTGGAGGTGGGGAGGGGGAAGTTATTAATCTGCCTACAACAGAGGCCCAGGAGTCAAAGACTCTGTGCAACTCTACCCAAACTCACTCTTCACATCCCAGGCCCCAGTCCTGGCCCCCACACATGACTTTCACTGCTTTTATCTTTTAGGTTCAGGAAGGGCAGACATAGATATCTCTAGAAGCTGATTTATGGAATTAAATTTTATTTTATAACTCAAGGGAAGGGAGGCCTTTGCTTGTTATAAAAAGGAAATATTATTACACTGCTTTGTACCTTGATTTTTTTTTTCATTTAATTTTTTTGGGGATGATAATCTCTATCAGTACCTAGAGATCTTTTCAGGGTTGGGGGGGTGTTATTTGGGCAGAGGGGTTCTGGCTACATGTTTCTTCATTAGGTAGATAGCCCATAGGTTTCCATGAGTCCCCACTGATGGTCATTTGTGCTGTTTTCAGTCCTTTGCTGTTTGACACAGTGAACACCCTCACAGGTGTCTTTTAGTATTTGTGTGCCTTTGACAGAGATTCCTGGAAGTGTGCTTGGTAGGGAAAGAGTAAATATTTTTGCAGCTTTGCTCGATGCCGGATCAGGCTCGGGTGGTGTGAGGAAGAGTCGGGTGGTGTGGGAGCGCTTGCAGGGAAAGGGCAGATGAGCGTGGGCAGCTCCTCCACACAGGAGGGCGACCTAGCCGAGCCGGAGCCTCAGAGCAGGGCCCTGCAGAGAAGGGAGGCAGTTTCTGGGTTGTGGCGGGAGGGAGGGAGGCGAGCAGGGCGCTGACTGCATCGTTGGCCGCAAGACAGGAAGGTGGATTCCTTCTCTTGACTGCTACTCTGAGAAGTCGGATGCAGGCTCATCTGCACAAGTGAGAGGATTCGCTGTCTGTTGCTGCCTGGCCCGGGATCCCAAACCTTAGAACAACAGTAATCAGTTTTCATCTCCACTGGTTTTTGTGGTTCAGGAACTCCGGAGTGGCCTGGCCAGAAGCTTCTGGCTTGGAATTTTCTGAAGGCTGCAGGAGGCTGTCAGCTGGACTGTGTCATCGGAAGGCTCGACTGGTGCCCCAGGCTCACTCCCATGGCTGGAAGGCCGGGGCTGGCTGTGGGCAGGAAGCCGCGGCTCCTCTGCACCTAGGCCCCCGAGCACGGCTGCGCTGATCTCGTCCCACCATGGCAACCAGCATCCCCTAGGGCAGCGTCCAGAAGACCAAGACGGCAGCTGCAGTGCCTTCTAGGCCCTGGCCTTGGAAATCACCCACTGTCCCCTCTGCCAGATCTGCCGGTCACACAGGTCAGCCCTAATTCCATGTGTGTCGGGGCTATGTAGGGTGCAGACACCAGGAGGCTCAGACCCTTGGGGGCCATTTAGGAAACTGCGCAGCACAGAGAGGAAAGGTGAGGCTGTGTGAGATTTAAAGAGATGAGAGGAGTCTGAGGAAGTAGAAGCCACGCTGACCTGTAAGATCCTCCTGCGGGGCTGAGGGCTTTTTGCACAGTGGTGACCACGTTCTTCTAGAGCCTTACTGCCCGGGTGCCGGCTGCTCTGCCCAAATGTCGCCACGGAGCAGGCAGGTGGGTGGTTGGAGTCGTGCCCGGCTGGAGTTCTGCCGGGCCGGCGTGAGGCGTGGGGAGGGACGAGGGAGGCAGCCGAAGTGAGGGGCGGTGAGATCCGAGCTGGACGAGCAGGAAGCGAGGAGTGGGAGGGTGGAGGTCTCTGTGTGGTCCAGGGACACACGCGGTGAGAGAGACATGTGAGCAAGCCAGCGGAGCAGAGGAGGGAGGTTGGCTTCCGAGAGAGGGGAATTTCTGAACTGTTGTCCCAGGTGGTGGGACAGCGCCAGGCAATGACCAGGGCTGGGGCACCCTGGAAGCGTGTGGCCAAGGAGCTGAGGGTCTCCTGGGACCAGGAGGCCCTCTGACGTCATCCACAAGCAGGGGCCCTGGTGGTGGAAGGAAAATGGGAGTCAGGGGCCCGAGTCCCCAGGGATGAGGGAGCGCAGCAGGGAACACGTTTGTGACCACAGCTGGGGTGGGAAGAACGTGGCGTGAGACGCACAAGCTGAGGTCCTCAGGGTGGAGCAGGGCTGCGCTGGTCGGGGTGCTGGGGACAGAGGAAGGCGAGTTTTGCCACAGGTGACCCCACATTCACCACCAGCTCAGCAAGATAAAGGCCCAGCGTGGAAGACGGGACTTGGGTTTGGAGGAGGACGTGTGGACAGGCTGAGGAAGGCGCGTCCTTCTCCATGCTAGGATGACGCGGGGTTCCCCATTTCTTCCAGAGCACGGTCCCGACGTCCCGTGGAAACAAGGGAAGGAGCGTCCTGCTCCTCCACTGCCCTGCGTGTTGGTGTCGGGTCACAGGATGGCGGCCGTCCTCCTACCCCAAGCTGCTGGTGAGTCTTGGGGTCCCAGCAGCCCTCAGAGGCCAGGCCTGAGAGTTCCCCGACCCACAGCCTGGGACAGGGAGGGGTCTGGACAGAGCAGGCAGGACGGATGGAGCCTCGGGGGCCACAGGTCCGGCGTCTGACTGGCAGCTCTTGGGATTGAGGACTTAGGGGTTGGGGGTCTGTGGATTTGCCGCCTGCGTGGTGAGTGTGCGGGAGTCTTGAATTCTACCTGTCCTTCTTTCTGTAAAACGTGATAAAAACACGTGATGGTTTCCTCATTTCTCTGTGAAATGAGCATAATCTCTCATCTAGTGTAGTTCTTTTTATGGTGTGCATGAGAGAGGGCTGGGCCCTGGTTTCTTAATAAAGTTGGTGGGGGCCGTCTGTGGGGTGTAGACATGTGCTGGGGGTGTGCCCGTGTGGGTGTCTGTGGAGTGTAGGCATATGCTGGGGAGTGTGCCCGTGTGGGTGTCTGTGGGGTGTAGGCGTGTGCTGGGGGGTGTGCCCGTGTGGGTGTCTGTGGGGTGTAGACATGTGCTGGGGGTGTGCCCTTGTGAGTGTCTGGGGGGTGTAGACATGCTGGGGGGTGTGCCCGTGTGGGTGTCTGTGGGGTGTAGACATATGCTGGGGGGTGTGCCCGTGTGGGTGTCTGTGGAGTGTAGATATGCTGGAGGGTGTGCCCATGTGGGTGTCTGTGGGGCGTGTGTGTGTGCTGGGGGGTGTGCCCGTGTTGGTGTCTGTGGGGTGTAGACATGCTAGGGGGTATGCCCGTGTGAGTGCCTATGGGGTGTAGACATGCTGGGGGGTGTGCCCGTGTGGGTGTCTGTGGGATGTAGACATGCTGGGGGTGTGCTTGAGTGGGTGTCTGTGGGGTGTAGACATGCTGGGGGGTGTGCTCGTGTGAGTGCCTGTGAGGTGTAGGCGTGTGCTGGAGGGTGTGCCCGTGTGGGTGTCTGTGGGGTGTAGACATGCTGGAGTTGTGCCCGTGTGGGTGTCTGTGGGGTGTAGACATGCTGGGGGGTGTGCCCGTGTGAGTGTCTGTGGGGTGTAGACATGCTGGGGGGTGTGCCCATGTGGGTGTCTGTGGGGTGTAGGCATGCTGGGGGTTGTGCCCATGTGGGTATCTGTGCAGTGTAGACATGCTGGGGGGTGTGCTCGTGTGAGTGTCTGTGGGGTGTAGACATGCTGGGGGGTGTGCCCATGTGGGTGTCTGTGGGGTGTAGGCATGCTGGGGGTTGTGCCCATGTGGGTATCTGTGCAGTGTAGGCGTGTGCTGGGGGGTGTGCCTGTATGAGTGTCTGTGGGGTGTAGACATGCTGGGGGTGTGCCCTCGTGGGTGTCTGTTGGGGGTAGACATGCTGGGGGGTGTGCCTGTTTGAGTGTTGGTGGAGTGTAGACATGCTTGCGGGTGTGCCCGTGTGGGTGTCTGTGGGGTGTAGACATGTGCTTGGGGAGTGTGCCCGTGTCGGTGTCTATGGGGTGTAGACATGTGGTCGGGGGAGTGCTCCTGTGGGTGTCTGTAGGGTATAGGCATGTGCTGGGGGTGTACTTGTATGGGTGTCTGGGGTGTAGACATGTGCTGGGGGGAGTGCTCCTGTGGGTGTCTGTAGGGTATAGGCATGTGCTGGGGGTGTACTTGTGTGGGTGTCTGGGGTGTAGACATGTGCTGGGGGGAGTGCTCCTGTGGGTGTTTGTAGGGTATAGGCATGTGCTGGGGGTGTACTTGTGTGGGTGTCTGGGGTGTAGACATGTGCTTGGGGGAGTGCTCCTGTGGGTGTCTGCATGTGTGTTGACGTGATCAGTCCCAGGCAGGTGGGAAGCCCCCAGATTTGCGAGTCTAGACACAGGGCAGGCCTGGATTCCTGTGACTCACTTCTTCCCCTCCAGCCCAATCTACCCTATACCCAGCCTCCCAGCAGAAAGGACGCCCAGAGGAGGACGGGCTGGTTAGTGAGTTCCTGACGAGCTGGTTACAGGTGAGTCGAATAGTCCTCTTTCTAAATCTTTGTGCCTTTGGCCAGAAGTTGAACTTGTTACCTTTCCATGGCCCTTGCTGAAAGGAGCCTCACAGGCAGCCCGGGTCCTCGGGCACCCAGGTCTTCAGGCATCCGACAGAGGGTGAGGGCTGCCCATAAAACGTCACCATATGTCAACTGTCACTGCAGTTTCAAAGCTCCCTGCAGGGTCCCTAAGCACATCACGTTTCCTGAGTGTTTTAAGGGAAAGCCAAGTAAAGACATGATGTGTTCTAAACTCCAGCAATTCTTAGTAACCGTTGGGAAGTCATGCATTCATTTACCAAGCGTTGCTCTGATTTCTGCGATGTCCCAGGCCCACACTTATCTCTGGAGGTTGAGGGAAATAAGATTGCAGGAGCTCTTGGTCTGGGTGGAAAAAGACAGGCACTCTGTGGGGTTTTTTGTTGTTGTTTTCTTTTGTTTACAGATAGAGTTTTGCTCTGTTGCCCCGGCTACGGTGCCGTGGCATCAGCTTAGCTCACCGCAGCTTCTAACTCCTGGGCTTAAGCAATCCTCCCACCTGGGCCTCAGGCATGAGCCACCTCGCCTGGCCTCGGTACTCTGTTATCACTGCATAGAACCTGGGGAGTGGCCTAGGTAAACTGGAGACGGGGGAAGGCTGAGCCCAGGACCCAGTGAGAGTTACTCTCAGAACCCTGCCCCCATCCCTGGTTCTGTCACCCTGAGCCCTCTTCCTGTTCACGTTGGTGGGGGTGGTCCTGAGCTGAGCCATGGTGTTTACGATGGTCTAGGACTTGGTGACCTTCAAGGATGTGGCAGTGGAGTTCACCCAGGAGGAGTGGGCATTGCTGGACCCCTCTCAGAGGACACTGTACAGAGACGTGACGCTGGAGAACTGCCGGAACCTGGCCTCGCTTGGTAAGCCCGTCATTCCTGTGTCCGTTCTTGTGGGTTTTTTTTTTTTCTTTGAGACTGTCAAACTCCTGGGCTCAAGCAATCCTCCTGCCTCAGCCTCCTGAGCAGCTGGGACTACAGGTGTGCGCCATCATGCCCAGCTAATTTTTCTATTTGTAGTAGAGATGGGGTCTCGCTCTTGCTCAAGCTGGTCTTGAACTCCTGACCTCAAGCGATCCTCCCTCCTTGGCCTTCCAGAGTGGTTCATGAGCCCCTGTGCCTGATCTGTATTTCTTTATTGTATTAAAATTCATAGAACATAAAATTCACCATTTTAAAATGTATAATTTGGTGGCCTTTAATGTAGTCACTGTGTTATACAACCATCAACACTATCTAATCTCAGAACATTTTCATCACTCCTAAAAGAAACCCCCTCCCCATTAAGCAGTCAGTACTCATTACCTTCTCCACCCCATGCTGCCGGCTAGTACTAATCCACTTTCTGTCTTCATGGATTTGCCTGTTGAGAACATTTCATATAAATGGAATCGTAAAAATACATGACTTTTTGTGCCTGACGTCTTTCATGTAGCATAATGTTTGAAAGGTTTGGCTGTGTTAGAATTCCTCTTTATGACTGAAATAATATTCCATTGTATGGGCAGGCCAAATTTTCTTTATCCATTCATCAGTTGGTAGACATTTGGGTGGTTTCCACTTCTTGGCTATTATGAATACTGTTGTGACTATTTGTGTACAAGTTTTTATTTAAACCTCTGCTTTCATTTCTCTCGGGTGTATACCCAGGAGTAGAACGCTTGGTCTTCTCTTTCTGTGTTGAGGTCTTTGAGAAACTATGAAATGTTTCCACAGCAGCTGCACCATTTTACAGGAGGTACATGAGGGTTCCAGTATCCTCCACGTCTTTCTTTCTGATTGTAGCCATCCTAGTGTGTGTGAAGTGATAGCTCATTGTTTTGATTTGCATTTCCCTGATCACTAATGACATTGAGCATTTTTCATGTACTTGTTGGCTATTTGTGTTATCTTCTTTGGAAGATTTCCAAGTCTTTTGCCCATTTTTTAACTGGGTTGTTTGTCTTTTTGTTGTTAGGTTGTAAAAGTTCATTTTATATTTTGAGTATTAAGCCCTTATTCAAAACACAATTTGCAGATAATTTCTCTGTGGGTATCTTTCCTTTTTGTTGATTGTGTCCTTTGGGCACAAGAATCTTAATTTTTACAAAGTCCAATGTATCTAGGTTTTCTTTTTGCTTGTGCTTTTGGTGTCGTACCTAAGACACCACTGCATAAGCCAAGGTCACAGAGATTTGCCCCTGTGTTTTCTTCTAAGAATTTTCCAAGAATGTTAGCTCTTACAATTAGGCATTTGATCCGTTTTGAGTTAATTTTGCATATGAGGAGAAAGGGTCAGCTTTGTTCTTTTGCATGTGTATGTTCAGTTGTCCCAGCACCCTTGTAGAAGAGACTGTTCATTCCCCATCAATGATCTTGGTACCCTTGTCAAAAATTATTTGACCATAGACACTAGAGATTATCTATTCTCAGTTCTATTCCATTGGTCTGTATGTCTGTCCTTATGCCAGTACATTATCTTGACAATTGCATTGTAGTAGTTTTTGATATCAGGAAATCAGGATATCAGGATATCAGTTTTTGATATCAGGAAACTTACTACTTTGTTCTTTTTAAAAAAAGAACTCTTTTTTTCTATTTGAGAACCTTTGCAATTCTGTGAATTTTCAGATCAGCTTATCCATTTCTGAAAAAAAAGCTATTGGAATTCCATTGGTGATTGCATTATCTCTGTAGATCCATTAGGGTAGTATTGTCTTAACTATGTTAAGTTTTCCAATACATATCCTTCTGTTACTCATTTTTAATTTTATTCCATTTTGGTTAGAGAAGATACTTTGTACTTCATTGTTTCTAAATTTGGTGAGACCTGTTTTGTGGCCTGACAAATAGTGTGTCCTGGAGAATGCAGATGAACATCTATTGTCTTGCTGAATGGAGGGTTCTTTAGATGTTGTTCGGTCTAGTTAGTTGATAGTATTTTTTAAGTTCTCTGTTTCCTTACTGATCTAATTAGTTGTTCTGTCCACTACTGAAAGTGGAGTATTAATGTCTCAAACTATTATTATAAAACTCTATTTTTCTCTTCAATTATGGCAGTTTTTAATTCATATGTTTTGGAGCCTTGTTGTTAGATACATGTACGTTTATAAATGTTATATTTTCTTGCTGAATTGATCCTTTATATAAAATGTTGGTCTGTGTCTTATAACAATTTTTGTTGTATGAAATATCTTTTGCTATCAACATATTTGTGTCTTTGGATTGTAAAGTGAGTCTCTTATAGACAGTATATGTAGCTGGTCCTTTACTTACAGTGGGGTTATGGCCCAGTAAACCCATTGTAAATTGAAAATACCTTAAGTAGAAAATGCATTTAATATACCCAACCTACCAAATATCATAGCTTAGACTACCTTAAACATGCTCAGAACACCTAACATTAGCCTACAGTTGTGCAAAATCATGTAACACAAAGCCTTTCTTATAATAAAGTGTTGCATATATCATGTAATTTATTAACTACTGTACTAAACATGAAAAACAAAATGGTTTTATGGGTACTTGAAGTGTGGTTTCTACTGAATGTGTGTGGCTTTTGCACCATCATAGAGTCAAAAAATTATAAGTTGAACCATTGAAAGTCTGTAATTCGGTTATTTTTAAAATCAGTTCAGCCAAAATCTACCTTTTAATTGAAGAATTTAATTCATTTTCATTTAATGTAATTACTGTTAAGGTGGGCTCTATTTCTGCCTATTTATTATTTGCTATCTACCTGTTTGCTATTTGTTTTCTATATGTCATGTCATTTTTTCATCTTAATTTTTCCATTATTGTTTCCTTTTGTGCTATATATTTTCTAGGGGACTATTTTGATTCCCTTCTCATTTCTTTGTATGTTTTTTAGTTATTTTCTTTGTGGTCACCCTAGGGATTTTAGTTAACATTTTAATTTATAAAAATCCAGTTTGATTTTAATATCAACTTAGTTTTAATAATATGCAAAAACATTGCTCCTATATAGGTGCATTCCCCCCCCTTTAGTTGTTTTGCCAAAAATTACATCTTTATGCATTGTGCGCCCATTAATGTAGATTTATAATTTATTGGTTTATGCATTTGTCTTTAAATTGTGTAGGGAAAAAAGAGGAGTTACAAACCAAAAATATATTGTCAGTGACTTTTATTTTTACCTCTGTATTTACCTTTATCAGTGTTCTTTATTTGTCTATATGGATGTGAGGTGCTATGCATTATCCTTTTATTTCAGCTTGAATGTCTCCCTTTAGCATTCTTTGCAGTGTAGATATTCTAGGGACAAACATTCAGCTTTTGTTTACAGGAATGGCTTTGTTTCTAATTTATTTTTGAAGGACAGGTTTGCCAGACATAGAATTTTTGATTAACGTTTTTCTTTTAGTACTTTGACTATATCATCCCAAATGCCTGGTGGCTCCATTGTTTCTGATGAGAAATTGGCTGTAAATACATTGACTGCCACACACACACACACAAGAAAAAAAAAATTTTTCCCTGGGGCCACAGTGTTTTATTAAAATGAAATGATCCTTTCTAATTTGTTATTTTTTATTGTTTTCTGTGCCTGAATTATATACAACACAATCCACATTTTTAGAATTAAATTGTCAATTGTAACAATAAGAACATCAACAAGTAAGATTTTCCCAAACCAACTACATGTTTTTGCTTCACAAGGCCCTGGGGTTAAAAACTAGCCTGAGTTAAATACAACTCACATGGCAGTCAATGTGTTAGTCTTACTAAGTATCCTGTGTACACAATGAGTCACTTCCTATTGATGCTTTTAGGGTACTGTCTTTTTCTTTCAGTTTGATTAATGTATATTTCATTTTGGATCTTTATCTCTTTGAGTTTATCCTACTTGGGTTTATTGAGCTTTTTGCATTTGTACCTTGTGGATTTCATCAGATTTTGGAAAGTTTTTAGCCATTATTTCTTCAAATATTCTTTCTGTTCCTTTGTCTTCTCTGCTTCAGGGACTCTCAGTGTGTATATTTTGGTGTGGTTGATAGTATCTCACAGGTCTCTTAGGCTTGGTTCTTTTTTTAATTATTATTGTTTTCTTTTCATTCTGCTTTTCAGACCAGATAATATAAATTGCCCTATCTTCCTGATCACTAATTCCTTCCTTTGACTGCTCAAATCTGCTGTTGAACCCCTCTTCTGAATTTTTCATTTCAGTTTATTGTGCTTTACAACACAAATTTCTATTTGGCTTCTTTTCATAATTTCTATTTCTTTATGATGTTTTCTGTTTGATGAGAATTTGTACTCACAGTTCTCTTTAGTTTTTTGTACATGGTTTCCTGTAGATGCTTTGAAGATATTTAAAATAGTTGATATATTTTATTTGTCTTGTAAATCTAATATTTGGGTGTCCTCGGGGATAGTTTCTACCAATTTCATTTTCGTTTTAATAGGCCATGCTTTTGTTTCTTTGACAGCCTTGTAATTTTGTTGAAAATTGGACATTTGGAATATACAATACAATTGGAATATTATAATACAGCACTTCTGGAATCAGATTTTCCCCTATCTCCAGGGTTTGTTGTTGCCTGTTGTAGTTGGTGTGTATGAATCTTCATTGATTTCTCAGATCTAATTTTGTAATGTCTGTAATTGTCATGTATGGCAACTGATATTTTTTTCCTATTAGCTTAATGGTCATGTGGTGATTTGTCAGATATTTCTTTGAAGGCCTGGAACCAAAAAAACAAAACAAAACAAAAAAACTTCCAGTCTCTTCAGATGGACTATGTGTGTACATAAGGGCATGCCTTCAGAATTCAGCCAGGAGTTTACAACTCTGCCTTGGCCTTCTCCTCCTCCTTGCACAGAGACTGGAGGTCAGCCAGAGGTGAAGGCTTGGTGCCTCTTCAGGTCTTTTCTGAGCACACACCCAGCCCCAGGATGTGCTTGGCAGTCTACGTTTCTAGGAATATGAGAAAGCTTTTCAAAGCCAAACATCTTTTCCCCTATTTTTCCTTCCAGGCTTTTGGTTAATCTCTGCATCTGCTCTTTTCTCTGGCCTCAGGTAGTACTAATATAATACATTTGCCTTTAAATGTGTTGATCATATGTGTCCCGGGTAGCCAGCTCGTCCCCCCAAAATTTGGAGTCAGATAAATGAAGGCAAGCCATTCGAGCCGGTCGTTCAGGGAGCCACCAGACAGGTCAGGAAAAACAACCACAGAACGAAGTCTGTTTTGCTCCCCCAGCCCCAGTGTTAGGAATGCAGGCTGCTGTCTTCCAGGTTGCAGCCAAAGCAAGGGAAAGAAAATGAAGCCAGAGTCAGTTAAAATGCCATGCAGCTTTCTTACCCAGATTTGGGGGGTTTCTTAATTAGACATTCTACTGATTGCTGTTAACTTGTGGTAAATTTTCAGGGTTCCCATTAATTTGATTCTGAAAGTTTTTGCCAGTTTATTCACTGTTTTTTCAGAAGGGATGGCCTTTTGAAATTCTTTATACCATGTTCACTGACGTCATTTCTCATAAGTCTTTCTTAAGCACCTCTGTGTTCCTAGGTCTGTGCTGAGGTTTGTGAGTACAGAGATGAATGAGACAGACACATTCCCCACCCTCATGGAGCTGTCTGTCTGATGCCCTCTTTGTGAATTAAAGATCTGTTTCTTGCCCTGACTTTATATTCTCCATGGTTAAAAGTTTTAGGGCTTCTGAAGTGTATGTTTGAACTTAGACATGGGCTTCTGGGACTATGTATACCCTATCACCCTGAATATTGAGTGAGGATGCTTGCATTTCTGTTCCTCATGAGAGTTACTATCTTTACTGGGATTTAGGTATAATTCTAATGTCTAAAGGTGTATTGCACCTAAAGTCACATTTGGCCGTCTTCAGAAGTGTTGGCTGCAGTTTCGTGGAGTTGCTTGTCCCTGACACTGATCTATATATATCATATGTATTTTCTCTATTAATAGGGTGTCATGTTGACAAACCCAATCTGATATCCCAGTTGGAACAAGAAGACAAGGTGATGACAGAGGAGAGAGGAATTCTTTCAGGCACTTGTCCAGGTGAGGTCCAGGTAGTTGTAAGTTCTTGTCAAGAATACCTCTGGCCAGTGACTCAGGAATTGGGAGTATTGCATTAGTTAGTGTCAATCAGGGAATTTTGTAGAATTCCCTTTGTTCTGACAAAGGTGGACAAGAACTTTGGTATAAACTTCCGCATGTGCTTTTTTCTTTCTCTTAACTCTCTGTTCACCATCTCCTGTTTGACTTTGGCCTCACAGGACAAACAGAAGACACAGTTCTTTTCCTTTTTAAATTTCAGTCCAATTTCTTCCCACTGTGCATTCCTAATAGCTCCTTCTTTTATCAATCTCTGAGTAATCTCAATTTTTCTAGAATCCTTTTTTAAATTAATACCTAAAAATTTTCATAACCAAATCCTGTCCATTGCAAACCTCAAAACGCTAATCCCTTGGAGTCTGCTTTCATTCACACATGCAGTTTAATGTTTCTTTTCTCCATCAACCTTAATTTCTTTGCAATTTCTTTCAGATGTGGGGATTGTACTTAAAGCCAAATGGCTACCTCCCAAGAAGCATGTTTTTAGAAAAGAACAGTCTAAAGGTGTAAAAACGGTAAGACTGACGTGTGTGATTCCTGGTTTTCCACAGTAAGACAATGCCATAAATTTAGAAAGGGCACAAAATAGCCAGCAGAGTCATTAAAAGAAAGTGCCATTTATACTCCAGAAAGTTGTGTCTCCGGAGAGGCATTAAAACTTGGGAATTTAGAGAAAGGTATGTTTGTTCTAAACTTCTTTCTTCACTGAGAGTTTCCACAGGTAACTGTTTCCCTAAATGTGACTCAGGTATTGACTATTTGAAACATAAATTGGTCCTAAACTTATCATGAAATGTATTTTGTGAATATGATAAGGATTTTTGGCAAAGCATCTGTCTTTTTTAACTTCCTATCTAAGAGCTCAAACTGGGCAGAAACCATATGTAACCACTGAAAGTAGCCATAATTTCAATTATAATAATGGAGTTCCTGGGAGAGAAAATTCCTATGGCAGCATTCAGTATTAATAATATTATGAACTATAGTTATCATTCTTCTCTTAACCAACAGGAAAGAAGTCACCGTGGAGTGAAACTCAATGAATGTAATCAGTGTTTTAAAGTCTTCAGCACAAAATCTAACCTTACTCAGCACAAGAGAATTCACACTGGAGAAAAACCCTATGACTGTAATCAATGTGGAAAGTCTTTCAGCAGTAGATCTTACCTCACTATTCATAAAAGAATCCACAATGGGGAGAAACCCTATGAATGCAATCACTGTGGGAAAGCATTTAGTGATCCCTCATCTCTTAGACTGCACGTGAGAATTCACACCGGAGAAAAACCCTATGAATGTAACCAGTGTTTTCACGTCTTCCGCACCAGTTGTAACCTCAAAAGCCACAAGAGAATTCATACGGGGGAGAATCACCATGAATGTAATCAGTGTGGAAAGGCTTTCAGCACAAGGTCCTCCCTTACTGGGCACAATAGCATTCATACAGGGGAGAAGCCTTATGAGTGTCATGACTGTGGGAAAACCTTCAGGAAGAGCTCATACCTGACACAGCATGTGAGAACTCATACTGGAGAAAAACCCTACGAATGTAACGAGTGTGGGAAATCCTTCAGCAGTAGCTTTTCTCTTACTGTGCATAAGAGAATACATACCGGAGAAAAACCCTATGAATGCAATGACTGTGGGAAAGCATTTAATAATCTGTCAGCTGTTAAGAAACACGTGAGAACTCACACTGGAGAAAAACCCTATGAATGTAATCAATGTGGAAAATCTTTCACTAGTAACTCTTACCTTTCTGTGCACAAGAGAATACATAATAGGTGGATATGAATTTCTGTGGGAAAGTGCTCACTGATCGCTCATCTCTAAGACAACTTGAGAGCATTCACACTGGATGTATAAGTTATCAGTCACAGCATAACAAATTAACCTCCCCAAAATGTTGTGGCTTCAAACAACAAATACTTATTATCTCACAATTTCTGTAGGTCAGGAATCCAGGAATGGCCTAGCTGTGTAGTCATGCCTCAAGATCTCTCATGAGGTTGCAGTGGAGATGTCGGCCAGAGCTGCGGTCACCTGAAGTCTTTACTGTTAAAGGCTCCACTTCCAGGATGGCCCATTCACATGCCCAGAAAGTTAATGTTGGTTGTTTCAGGAGACCTGCAGTTCTTCACCATTTAGGTGTCTCCACAGGGCTCAGTATCTGATTTGGCAGCAAGTTCCCCCCAAAAGCAAGTGACCCAAGAGAGGGCCAGTACAGAAGCCACGATGTCGTCTATGAACCAGCCTCAGAAGGACATATTTTCACATCTTTCCTTCTGGGCGCACACACCAATCCCAATAAAGTGTGGGAGAAGACTACACAAGGTGTGAATGCCATGAGACAGATGACTGGGAAACTTGCCATGAAAACAGAGAATAAAAGCCTCCAGCACACCTTCGTCCTTTTACTCTAATCAATGTGAAATAGCATTCAGTAACTCACCTGTTAATTCAGTCTGGAGAGAGAACTTAATGAGTACAATCTGCGTGGTAAAGCTTTCAGCTCACGCTCCTACCCTAATGTGCCCAAAAGATTATATACTATAAAGACCTGAAGGATGGAACAGCTATAGGAAAGCCCTGATATCTCCAGGGATTCAGATGAGAGTTCACATGGAGAGAGAAACCTTCTATGAAGGTCTTCAGCATACAGAAGCTTCAGGGACACTCATCTTTGTGACTCACACAGGAAATCACCCAGCAGACAAACACATATAAAAAAAACATGGAAAACTCTACAGCGAAAGTATTCACATTACGGAGTAAGAGATAGTGAGGTCTTCTGGCTGCAGCAAATACGGGAAAGCACTGAATGTTCTCTCAGTTTTTAATAGAGACAAATAATTCTGGAAAGAAAGTCCCATTGAATGTCATCAGTATTGGAAACTTTCCATTTTTCCACGTTATTATTAGGAAACTTGTGGGAACTCACACCGCAAACAAACTCGCAAATGTAAAGAATGAGAGAAAGTTTTCAATGATGCCTCTGTGTTAGGAAAAATATGAAAATCCTCACTGGATGCAAAACCTTTGAGTGTATTATCAATTTTGGAAAAATGTTCAGTGATTCTCTCTTGTATGGAGGAAACCCTAGAAATGCACTCAGTGTTAGGACGCTTCAGCCCAGCTCTTTTCTGAGTGGCCACAAGGTAATTTATACTGAGAACAAAAAGTGTAAATGGTGAGAGTGTGGGGTTAGTGTTATCTGTGTCTCATTGGTAGGTTGGGCCACTGGGTCATTAATTTTTAGTCTTTTTGTTTTAATATAAACATTCATGTCTATAGCTAGTCCCTAAAATAAACCATAACTTACATTCATTCCATAATTTTAATGTAACATATTTATTATAATTTACTCTTTAAATACATCAATACAGGCCAGGTGCAGTGGCTCACGCCTGTAATCTTAACACTATGGGAGGCCAAGGCGGGAGGATTATTTGAGCTCAGGAGGTCAAGACCAGCCTGAGCAGGACAGAGACCCATCTCTACTAAAAATAGGAAAAAAAAATTTAAATAAAAATCAGTACATTGTATATTCAAAATGTTATTTCTGAATAGTTCCTGGGTGATTTAGTCTCTCATAATAGAAATTAGATAGTATTTATGATATAATTTTTTCTAATTTAATGGTATTTTTGTCAGAGTATCTGAGCTTTATGATACTGATTTTTTCTCTCTCTCTCTATCCTAGTGTGGCAAATGCCGTTAGCTTCTTTCTCAATGTCCATTCTTCCCGTTTTGTTCAGGTTGTCTGTGAGCAGTACTGAAAATACTCAATCTTCCAGGCTCTCCTGAAGCCCAGACAGGCTTTGTCCCACTCTACTGGCCATGAGAAGTAGGTAGAAGCCATGCGGGTGTGGTGAGGGAAACACCATGTGGTTTCTTCTCACTTTCCATGTATTCATTTTACCCATTCTTTCCGTTGGTCTCTAGAGTTTGAAGAGCTATTTTTTTACCATGATGACAAAAATCACAGTGCAGCGGGAAAAAAAAAATCGCAATGATCTAGACTCCCCAAAGCCTCTGACTGCCTACATCAACTCCGAATTGTTTATTCTTAGACTTCTGCTCACATGATTAAAAGAAACCCCCAACTGGTTGAAGCCAAAGCAATTTGTTGTTTTTGAGGTGATCATCTGTTAATCCCCAGCTGAATGCGGTCCCCTAGCTGGTAGACCTCTCAATTAGTCAGATTTTATCCATGTTTTAGGTTTCTTTGAAAACAGTGTATATTCTGTGGTATTTGAATATAGGGTATATGCACATGAATGCAGCCTACTTGTATTTTCAAATATGATACATATACTTAGATTTTTTTTTCTCTTGACCTTATTTAGTGGTAGAGGTGTAGTAAAGTCTTTCATTATGATTATGGATTGACATTCTTTTTGCAATTCTGTCATTTTTATTCATATATTTTGATGTAATGTTACTAGGTGTTTACAGGATTAGGTATTTTCTTGTGAATTGTTCCTTTTTACATAGAACCCATATATTTACGTCACAAAATATTATAATGCATTAATAATAAATGGTCAGACATTTATATGTCATTGCCAATAGACCAGGGACTCTTCTAAATGCCATGTGAGTATTCACTAATTAAGTACTTACTAAAAGCATAGGTTATTTACTATTATTCTCTCCAGTTTACAGATGAGAAAACTGGTATAATAAGTTACTTCCCTGAGTTCTCTGGCCCATAAATGGTAGAGCCCAGATTTGAACCCAGTCAGTCCATGCGCTTAACCACAAGCCTGTTTATTGAGTACATTCCATGCGCCAGGCAACGTTTTGCCATTAAAGCACTTCATTTTAATGGAGGAGGGGCACACTATAGAGAAAAATCAAGAAAATATGATATTATAAATGTCATACAGAAAACTAAAACATTTAAAGAGAGGCGATGGGCATTGGGGACTTGTGATTTTATGTAGGATGGGATAGGAAAGGGAGGCCTCGGTCAGGGCATTTGAGCAGGGACCTCAGTGAGTCCTATGGGTCTGCGTGGAAACAGCAGCCTTGCCAGGCAGCGTCCTACTACAGCAAGGCCAGCACGACTGGAGTAGAACAGGGGGTGTGGCAGGGGTGACAGAAGATGATGTGGTCAGAGATGTGGTGGACCCTCATCTCGTTAGGTTTAGGTTTTCTGGGTCACTATTAGGACTTTTCCTTGTCTTTTTTTCCCCCCAATGAGTTGGCATATCCGTCAGAGTCCCCAGCGGGAAACGGTCGACACACTCAGACTAGGACAATTCAAGTAGAGTTTCATGAAGGGTCTGCTCACAGAGTCGTGGCAGGGGAGCCACAAAAGGCTGTGCATTTCACCCAGGAGGTGGGAAGGGCGGAGCTCTGTTGACACCCCTAGTCCTGAACAGGCAAGAGAGAGGAAACCACTGAGATCTGGAGACAGATGGGGAGAGGGCTGCATTCCAGGAGCTGAGAGGTCAGTCAGGGCTAGCATCCGGCCCCAGGTCCTCCTGCAGGAAGAGCCAGGGTCAGACCTCTCTTTCCTTCGTCCTTCTGTCTCATGCCTGGGCTCCCCCTTGGCTAAACCCAGCCGGGAGCCTTCAGGCAGGGAAGCTCACTGATGTCATTCACATAAGCTAACCTTCCTAGGTGTCCAGGTCAGCAGGGTAGAGGGAGTGTATCCACTGGGGACAAAGGGAAGATACCCAGTATTGATCACCCCTTTCGCTTCACAGAAGCTAGCATTGCCCCTCACCTGGGTGGAAAGTGCATATCCTTGACCAGGAATTCCATCTGCTGCTGTATTTCTCTGAAGTGCTGTCCGTGCACTGATGCTCCCACCTGAAGCCTAAAATAGTTGCCACCACCAGAGCTCCTCATAGAGGATGGAAGGTGGGGCTGTTGGGGGCAGACTACAAGAAAAAAAAAATTACCTAAAGGGTCTGGTTCCCAGAAGGAGAACACTTCCATCAGGAGACATGGGAAGAGTCCCATTGAACTTGAAGCCCTGACTCCTGTGAGACCAGCCAAGGGAAGAAGTGATCATAGTGGCGTCCTCTCATCCGGAGGGTGTGGGGCCACTGTTACACCATGAGGACAGGAGGAAAACACTTGGCATTCAGGTGATCCATTGAAGGTCTCTGGATGTTCTCTCCCAAGTTTTGATGACAAGTTCAGCATCTATGTCCTGAGAAAAGTGTTGAGACCCCTTCGGCATGAGGGTGTGGAGCAGCCCTCCAGGTGAGCCGATTAGGCAAGAGCATGTGCTCTGTGTTCCATAACCACTTGGCATAACAAAATTTAATTTTTTGAGGAAGATAACTAAGAGCCTCTACAAGGTATTACAGCACACAATAATAGGATTACTGGACATGCCAAGAATCAAGAAACTGTCCTCAATTATGAATATGCAAATCAATAGAAGCAGACACAGAGGGACGATTCAGGTATTGGAGTTAGCAGACAAAGACATTAAAATAACTATGGGTAATATGTTAAGAAAAATGGAACCTCATCAAACCACAGAAAGTGAAAGACAAACGGCACATCTTCAAAGCAACCAAAGAAAAAGGACATGTTGCTCTCAAAAGAGCAACGGTAAGACTAAAGATGACTCCAAAAGAAACTCTGGTGGCAAGAGGACAATGACATCTGACCTCTAAAGAGTCAAATGGGAGGGTCAGGGAGTGCTGCCTATCTAAAGTTCTATAAGCTAAGAAAATACTCTTCAAAAATGAAGAAAAATGAAAGGTACTTTCCAGTGGGAGTTTTTGTTTTTGTTCTAAGCTGAAAGAAATAAAAGCATTACTGCACTCCAAGAAATGCTAAAGCAAATTCTTTGGGCTCTGTGTGGACATAACCCATAACCTCACTCCAGGAATTAAGGTCACCAGGAAGCATAAAATGCAAGCACATATAAGTGAATATTGGCTGTATAAAAACAACCCTGTATAATTTTACAAGTTTTATGTACATCTAAACCTTTTTCAAATAAAATGCTTTTAAAAACACATCGATCTGATCCCCTAAAACTTAGAGGTGTTCGGAAGCCCTGGAAGTGATGCTCACAGTCTGCACCCAACAGTAGAGCCTGCAGAAGTCCTAGTAAGGGGCCACCAGGACCCCCCCCCCCACCTTGCCCTGCAATACTGGGGGCAGCAGGACCCCAGACAGCAAGTGTGATCTCCAAACACAAAAGATGGGGTCTAAGCAAGCAAGACCTTTTCTTGAAATACTCTTATTTGCTTTCCTACTCAAATGTAAGGGCATCAGTTAGTCCTTCCCTAATGTCTCCAGTCTTTTCCCACTGCCTGAAGAGTTGAATAAGGGCAGTCACCTTGTTAGGTTTATTTCTGGTTCAGGAGTTTTTGCGAATGCTTTACACATATACATGCTCTCTGAAAAAGCAAAGCAAAATGATTTTCCCACACTTTGGGACATCTTGAGGAATGGAAGGGAGTAGTATTAAGAATGATGATACAACAAGAATAAATGGGATGAATGGTATCCCGTTCCACAAATACCTGCTAAAGACAGAAATTAAGTATTTGAAGGGAAGGTGCACTGGTTAGGTTTGCATTTTTTTCTTTGAAATAGAGTCTTCGCTCTATGGCCCCGGTAGAGTGCAGTGGCATCACCACAGCTCTCTGCAGCCTCAAATTCCTGGGCTCAAGCAATTCACCTGCCTCACCCTACCAACAAGCTGCAACTACAGGCACATCGACACCCAGCTCATTTTTTTCTAGTGTTTGTTGAGATGGGGTCTCTTCCTTGAGCTGCTTTCAAAGTCCTCAGCTAAAGGGATCCTGCTGCCTCGACCTCTCAGAGTGCTAGGATTCCAGGCGTGACCCACCACACCCGGCCCCAAAATATTCTTTAGAAGTGCGAACTCATGGCACGTGATGAACACTTAGAGAAACGAAGATAACCTGGCGTGAAGTTATGAGTGGATTTGAGAATCTTTGTGATTGTGTGTGTGTGCGTGCATACACATGCCCATGTTGCTGCTGCTGCCTTCTGTGGTCCGGGGGACTCGTTTGCCTTGGGACAGTCTGTTCCTGACTACTCACTGCAGGCTTTGCCACCTCGGTCTTAGGCCAGGTCTGCCCAAAAGAAATCTAACAGTGTGCCCTAACTGTCTAAGCCAAGAGCACAGTGTCTCCCTTCACACTATGAGTTCATACACACCCAATCACCAGACACATTTTGTGAGCCGTGTTCCCCAAGCCACCTTTAAAACACATTAGCCTGAAAAATCTTGAGAAGGATTTCTCCCAACTTCTCCCTCAGCTTCTTGCAATGTGAAACTCGTTGCTCCAAACAAAACAGGAAAAGAACATTGCCTACAAAAGTG